TAAAACTGAAACTTTGGCACTGTGAAATACATCAGAATAGGCCTGCTTTAAGAGGAAGGTAGGAATGTTTTGGTATCATTTTGAAAATGTTGTTTCTTCTCCACTAAGACTAGAGATTCTCTTAGCAGCCATGAGGGGGGTATGGGTTTTGTGAATCACATGTAAAGCGTTCAGTTGAGGTGGAGCTGTTTGGTAGGGTGGCAGAGGCCAAGAAAACATAAAGTACAATCTGCAATGGAGGCAAAAGAAACAATTATATTGTTTTGGTTCCTGCCCAAATGAATATGGTACATATCTAGGATTCCATATGGCTTATCAAAATACAACAGTTCACCGATCTATTTATAAGTTGCGGAGCCATAATAACTCACGGCTAAGTACTCGATGACAGCTGGCCTCCTGTGGTTTTCTCCTCTCTGGAAGGCACCCAGAGGCTGTAGAGTGCAGGCCTGCGTGATCTGCAAGAACCCACATGAAGCCAGTAGCTACTGATCGCTTTCAGCATTCCCAATGCAGACGAACACGTAGAGGTTAATTCCACACTGAACAGCAGACAGGGAAAAAAAAACACGGCGTTTTGGCTGTCGAGCCTCCTTCTGGTGTCACGGAGGTTTATAGTGGCCAGACTGAGAAGAGTAATTGATCAGGGGAATTGCTGCAAGGGGTGGCTATTCCAGCAGGTCCATCTTTTACTTGTCTAGTTGCTGAAGTAACGTATTGATAATCCAGCTTGCATCTCTTGAAGGGTATCTGCCTCGATAACAGAGCTGGGTAGCTTGTTCCCATCCAGAAGCCTTTATATAATAAAGTGCATCTCGTGGCCAGTCCTCAGTGCACATATATTCATTTTCACTTGTGTCCCTGGGTCCTTGTTTTGCTCTGGGTCTTCTTTCTTCTCCTGTTTTTTTGCTCACAAAAACATGGCATTTAGAAGCTGCACACTAATTATATTGTGGTCCCTGCTGGACAACCGGAGAGGCTGGTGAAATAGATCATGGCTGTTTAAAGTCCATAGTTAAACCCATGTTGTCTGACCCAACTCAGATTAAGTGGAAGAAAATGTACATTTTCAATTATACTTCCTTCAAGTGTTTTACATCTTAAATTAATATCTCTTTTGTAGAAAGGGTCTATAGACCAAAGGAAAAATGTATAAGTGCATAAACTGCACAGGAAAATATCCCTTAAATACTGAAGCATCTCTGTCTATGGAGTTGAGAAACAAGCTCCTCCCAGTCTGATATTGTACTTGCAACAAATTTTGAAAATGTTGAACAGCAATGCGGCTCATGAATTCCACTGCAAATGAACAGACATGCAGCTGTTTTCCCTATATTTGTGCCTTGTCATTGTGTCCTTTGATTAAAGTGTGTCACTCAGTATAAGGGAAAAACTTGTGCAACATTGCGCCTGTTTTGTATACCAGAGCAGAAGCAAAAATTGCAACTAATCCTGACCTTTGGTGCCACAAAATGAGAAGAGTGCCAGCTTACTCTCCAACTGACGCAGGCAGCCTGACATTTCCTAACACTTACGCAAATCCTTCCCCTGTCATTTAAATTGTGATCATCCAGCTTGGTATTACTCACACGTCCCATTCTTTACAGACGGCAGATTCGTGGCAGAATCTCTCTCTCTCTGAGAACATGCCAGCAATGAAGGAAAACTTTAAAAACAGAATTGCCCCACATGAATACCGAAAGGATGAAGGACAGGGCCCCAGCGACATACTCAACAACAAATTACATTCTTAATTTTTAGTTTATGAAACTATTAATGTCAAATTAAAATTACAAAGTACAGCTGATTCTTATTATATACTGTGAGCCCTCGTGTGAAATGTTTAATTAGGAATGGAAGCACTCTTTAAAAAAAAACACTCTTACACGGGAGTAATAGGGTGAAATATGGGAAGGCTCCTTAATACACAATACCACAGCAAGTCATAGGCTGAAGGACGATGAGGCCTGAGCCCAAGCCTTTTCATTCCTTATAAGTTCTTCTGCACCTGTTCTGCACTCTCCAAAATGTCCAGAAAATGAAAATGACAAAGATATCATTGCAAATGCAATAGGTATCATTATGAGGATTTGCCTTCTCCACATAATATAGTTTTCTGCTTCTCATGAGAATTACTTGGTTTAGCTGAGACTCTAGTCTGACATCAGATGTTTTGGGGGGAATTTGCGCAGCGCACTTGGAAGATGTTCACAACACGATTGTTTTCCAGGGAAGTTAATAATGAGACCTTACCCCATGGAGATCACATTCTGGCAGCAGACAATACTTTTAAATTACTGAGTCCTATTAAGCCTAATTCACTGCCCAAACATATGGACACAGCATGGGCTTTGGCCAGGATTGGGCTGCTGTGGCGTACACCCTGTTGCTGGTTAAGGTAATTGGTTTCTGTTTGCTGAACAGGGCTCAATCTGACCATCTGGTCAGCACATGACACCTATAACACCAACATTCCTGAAAACTGCGCTTTTCCAAGACCTTTTGCTTTAGTTAGCCAGTGCAGATTTGCAAAAAAAAAAAGCAATATTGTTTCCATGAACACTACACTTGTGCCCAACTGTTATCACTGGTGTAAAGGAAACTGAAGAAAGAAGGGGTCACATACTGAGCTGTAACTGAAAAACAGCAATATCCTGTCTGTCTCTCATTCTTTGTCTCACCTTACTGGTGATAAAGTTCTTGTTTACCCACCTTGTTGAAAATAAATATCTGGGAGCACATTTCAGACATCCACTGTTTTCCCTTAATATCCAAATCCCTCTGCTCTTTACAGCTTTTACGAGTTAAAGGGAAATAGGTTTTTAAAACCACAAAGCACCATTTCACCACCTTCCTCACAATCATTTTATTCTCCATGTAAGTCAATAGAATACCATCTAAAAAGTGAAACTCCCACATGCTGAAACAGTGTTTTTCAGATGAGATGACCTGAGAAGATTTAAAGGGGAAGCTTCATTTTTTACAGCAGGTTTTACATATTTTAACCTGTATCTCAAAGTCTCGATAGACCTCCATTCATGCAGAAAGCTATTGCTGTCAATGTTCCTTGGTGGGTCAGCCCTTAGATTGGCACCATTGCTTCTCTTTATGTAGAAACAATGTTAAACCAGATATCCCAAACAGAGTTTATACAAATATGAGCCTGCTTTTAGAAACTTTTTCAAAAACAGAGCGGAGCTCTTAGCAGTGGGAACAGCGTTTTCTTCATGAATCGCCATGGAAAAACCTTGGGATCGTTCCCGTCCTGTTAGAGAGAAGGCTTTGACCATTGATCTCTTAATCCTGGGGTCTCCAAACCCAGTGTCCATGAGCCACAGACCAGGGGGCGAGTCATTTCTTGGTGATACTCATTTGAAAGAATGCCTGTCATGATGTCATTACTCTTGAGTGAGAAATAAAAGAAGAAGTTTAGTTTTTATTGATCCAATGGGCAGTTAAAATGTTAAAAAAATCAAAATCCCAAGCGCTGAATGCAGCCTTCTGAAAATCTGTTATGGGATCCTTAAGCTCTTTTTTTTCCCTGTTCTGAAAAAAACAAAACAAAATCTATTCTTAATTCAACCCGTAACCTGACCTGTTACTGTCACGTCAATCTGTGCTCTGCTTATAGACCCCATCCCATTTCTAATTCTAAAGCTAACCCTAGTTACATTACCCATTCTAGATATATCATTCAGCCCATCGCTAACCTTGGTCCTGGTTGAGTCCTCACGCTAAACTGTGTGCTGACTCATAAACTGACCCTAGTGTTTCACTTCATGTGGGAGAATGTCACACAGCTGTTTTCTCTCTCAGAACCAAACTGCTCGTAGCACAGAGCGATGTTCTGTGAAACAAACCACAAGAAAATCGCAGTTCGCCATCAGCTGCGTTGAGATGGAGAGTACTACTGCACATCAAAGATTCAGAAAGATGCTAGGATTTTTTTTAAAACGGGAAAACTGTGGTTCAATTCCTGGGGACTGGGGACTGAGAAATACTGAGGCTGGGTGCTGATATACTGTACTGTATAGTCAACTCAGTAAGGTGAGGGCTGTTCTGTAAGAGAACAAATAAACTTTGTCTGAAAAGTGTTTCAGCTCTCTGTTCCTACCAGAAGAAAACCCCAACTGTCACCATTCACCTCTGTTGGAGTGCCTGTTGTGAAGAAGGCTTCTTCCCTTTTCTGTTTTATTCACTGTGTCAGTAGTCAAGGTGTACTGCTAACCTTCACTGGCCTAAAGCCATCCCTGTGGCTGTGAGGATTCTTTAAAGCTTCTGACTTGTTTGTAAATGTATATTTTTTATTTGTTGATGTTGTGTTAACTGTATTATGTATTTTGTAATTTCTTTTAACAGCCTGTGAAGCAAACTGCTAGGATCAATTTAACCACAGTAGTGCACGTGCAAATAAAACTACAAGTTTAAAATTAAAAACAAGGTGAATTAAATTAACATCAAATGGTTTAAGTAAATGGTTAAGCACTAGAAAACTTACCTTGAGCATTATTACTGGTGGTGGTGGAGGGGATCCCCATTACCTGTAAAGCGCTTTGAGTGGAGTGTCCAGAAAAGCGCTATATAAGCAATAATAATAATAATAATAATAATAATAATAATAATAATAATAATAATAATTATTATTATTATTATTATTATTATTATTTTTATTATTATTATTATTATTACTACACAAAGATACAGTATTTTCCCAGATGATAACTGTTGAGTACTTTTCTGTTCCTGAATACTCTGATTAATTTCAATAAGTTGATAAAAAATACAATAGCAACCAACAAATATACTGAACTAAAATATCATTACAAATTAAAATGAAGTCTTTAAAACCCTATTGGAATTTTTCTAAACCACACTGCATTTTGATATGATACTCTGCTGTGATTATCGCTGAAATCTGTAGTATCATATTAAGCAGGATTGAACTTTTGCTTTAATCCTCCAAAGTACTGACTGCAGAATGAAGTCAAATGAAAACGTTCTATGCAAAACAGTTCATGTATTATTTATTAACAATGTTACACAAACTTAACAGTGGTATTAAAGAAAACTTGCCTAAGATCTAGAAATACTACACAATATTTACATCCAGTTAAAGTAAGTCATTTTCAAAACGGTCTTCCTCAAGGACTGTCACAATTTAATTTAGTTACAAAAGTCACCAATGTGGTATCAAACCTCTAATGAAAACAAAATTAATAGCGAACTATCTGATAACAATGGTTTAGTGCAGAAGCGGTACAAGTATAAAAATACTGATTTGTGTTTTCCATCAGAAGAGGGTTAAAGATGCGTGTCGGCAATGGGGATCCTTCTCAGCTCTACGATCTGGGAGTTTGCCACACTGCCGCCATCCTGACTCCCGTGACACGACTCGTTGTCACTGGCGTTGAGGCCGGAACCTGCAACCAACACACCGAGTCCGTCTGTGAGCCGCCGGCTCTGCAATCATCAGTGCCATCTCCTCGACCACTTAAAGCCTCATTAAAAACACTGCCACAGCCTTTGTTGCAGGCTGCTGGATTTCACTGGCGGTGCAGAACAAGACTTTTACATATTTAATTTAACTGTATTAGCTCAGCATTCATTCCTATAAAAATAGGATGCTTTGCTTCTGTGCATTTGCAGGGACTTGCTCTCTCCCAGGACCAGGGTCTGACTCTCTGTATTTCCCCGATACCATCATACATGAACACACACCTGGAAGGTAGTCAAAACCCACTCTTTTGCAAGGGCACAACCCGACTCTGCTCTCGTGCCAGGGCTGGCATCCCGGCTGACAGTCTGTTTAAGCTGGCGGTGGAGATCTATGCAAGTGATCATTAATTCTGAATCTAATGGGGGGCCAGACCGGGACAAAGATGTGCGTGCACGCACGTGTGGGCATAGCCAATTCCAAGACACTCTCCTGCCCTCCGCTAATCTGACAGCGTGAAGTATTCACTTTCCGACAGCATTAAAGGTACTGAGAAGAAGGTTAACCTCACGTTTGGGCTTTGGATATGCATTACACTGGATTAATAAACAGGATTGTGCTTTAGAATCATGAATGTAAGTTCCCGGGTTGGATTAGTGAAAATCAAAGATTGGTGGGAGTGTGCCAAGCCGATAGATAATTATAGACTGAACCTGTGCCTGAGTCTGCTACTGTGTGGGTTAGCATACAGATAGCGGTGCACTGGGCCTACAGTGTATGTTTCTAGAATCATTCATGATACTATAACCAGAACAGTATTTTGTCTGCTGTCTTTTGTAGTATTTATATATGGCAGCAGACCTTGAGTTAACTACTAGTGCAGTGTCAGTGTTTAGAATGCCACTTGTTGTTGGGCTGTGGTTAAAGTTGGGGTTGCAGTTCGATATAACAATAACTAGCCATATAGAGAAACTGTGTTTGCAACACCTGGGGGGAAAGACTGCTTACACAGCAGAATGTGCTTACAGCTGCCAGATGAGCAGCTCTTGAATAAAACTGATGATTGGATTCTACCACGCTTAACCCCTCAGCCCCAGCACTGAGTACGTTAGTGAATCAACCGCTGGTGTTTCTGCAGAGCACAACAATGAAGTCAAAGCAATTGGTTCAATGCTTCCAGTGGTGTTTCCACACTTATCATCAAAACTCCACATACTGATAGTGCAGCAGAAAATCCAGTGTACAATAACTATATACAGCTATAGAGATAAGAATTGACTCCTTATTTATTTTGCCCACTTAGAAACAGCGCGTCAAGTCATGAGCTTTTAATCCTGCTATATGAATTTTGGTAAGCAATGGGTTAAGGTAAACTGAAGATAATGCTGTTAGAAACAATCTGGTTTGAGGGGCAACATATAGGTGTTCTGTATAGAAAATAATTAGAATCTCTTAAAGCTGTGTCTGAATTCTAGAGATCCCATGGTCTGTATTTATATTTTTTCATATCTTGTCTTTATTTAAAGACATTTCTCAGCACCATGCAGCACACCATGAGAGTAATAAAGGCTCCACAGCACCACATAACTAATGTCCTAACGAGATCCAGACTCTCTGTGGTCATTAAAAATCTCCGAAAAAGAGTAGGGGTGTTGCTCATTGGCCTTTACCAGTCATGGCCTCCTAATAATCCCCATCTCTGAACTGGCTTAATTACTCTGCTCTCCTCCCCACTGAGTGCTGATGTGTGGTGAGAGTACTGGTGCACTCTGGCTGCAGTCGCATCATCCAGGTGGGGCTGCACACTGGTGGTGGTGGAGGGGATCCCCATTACCTGTAAAGCGCTTTGAGTGGAGTGTCCAACAAAGCACTATAGAAGTGTGAGGAATTATTATTATTAATGTAGGGATTCGCTTGTCCTTAGATTCTCTAGGAATAACTAGAGAATAATGGAAAATACTGGAAAATAATGATTTTCTGTGGTTTCTACAGATCCTATGGAATAAAGGTTTTTTAACGGTTTTGGATGAAGCTTAAAGGATATGGATATGCTTAGACTTGCAATTTTAATAGGTAAGAGTTATAATCCTCCTTAGGATTGGAGCTCAGGCTGGGGATGTGTGGATGCTGTAGATGGATACTCCTGGAGAACTTTCACAGGGATTGATCAGAAACATGCCCCTCACTTACCGGTCTTTAAGGCAAATATTAGGTCATCGAATTCTTGCGATTCCTCATCGGCCACCAGCGAGGTGTTGGTGAAGCCCCCCTGTGGACTGCAGGCGTTCCCGTTCTGTGGACCCGGCTTGAACGCGCTGCTGGCCTGGCTGCTAGGCCTCAGTGAAGTTCGCTCCCAGTCCGCTGGCACCTGGACACACAAACGACGGACTTTATCGCACTGCCATCGCCTCGCCCGTGAAGACTGGGTCCGCCAACCACGACAGTACATTCAGCACTTCACAGCCCTGTGCTTGTCGGCACCGTACTGAAGGAGCACTCAGGGACCATGCTGACCCTTAAACTGAGCTGTCTTGCCAGGAGAACTGTGGCAAACAGGACAATGGATGATGGACTAATTACCAAGAGTGAAGGGGATAAATCAACTAGCCTGGCCAGAGAGCAGCCCTGTATTGACATGTTCAACTTTAAGGAAGAAAACAAAAACACAGACATTTCTTAAAAAACCCTTAAATGCTTAGCGACAGCAACACCAGGATGCTTCAGAGAACATTGTTCTTTGCTTAGGAGTTAAAGTTCTTGGGGTGCAGTCCAGTATTTTCTTAACCCGATGATTATCCATTGTTCACCTTCCTGTCTGGCCATCTGCTTTTCTGTTTTCTTCAGCTTTTTGATGACACTGCAGCTTTTCGTTTCTTTCCTGGATTCCCCTTGTCAGCCTGCGCATACGTTTTTCATGCTTCTGTGGGTTGTCAGTACATTTTGTAGCGTTTGCTGTGGACAGTGTCCGGGGTTACAGTAGTTGTGTTTAGCAGAGGGAACACACAAGGGTTGAAGGCCTTTTTTTAAGGAGCTTAAGTAGTTTCCCTTTCAAAACTGACATGCACAATATTCACATGGGATACAACACGTGCCTGGCGGAGTTTTTCTTCCAGAACCTTCCTGTTTGTCGCTCTACTCTTTCAGTTGGAGGCTGATGGGTTCCTTGTGGTCGGCATACTCTTGAACTTTTGTGTAGTTTCCCTAGTCTTTGTGGAGAACTCAGGCCAGACTTTTGGTTATAAATCTCTGTACTAATTGTTCATACCCACATGCGGGTGGTACCAACAGATGGCCTTTTTCTCCTCCTTGAGTTTGGACACTTGGCAAGTAATTTCTCTCTAAAATTATTTTCTTGCAGTTGATTCCCGTGGCTGATTTAGTAGAATGAAAGTTCAATCTATGAATGTCCTTGGGGTAGAGCCTACATTATAAAAAACATCTGAAACGTTATAATTAAATTCATTTCTTTAGACAGATTCAAAGCAAAGCAAAGTGCATACTACTAGTTGCTGGATTATAGGCGTTTTGGACAGTTTATGTTTTTGTATCTTGAGTCTTCTTGGTTAGGAATTTTGGTTTGGAATAAAAATAAATTTGACATCACTGCATTACGCACAAAGAGAAAGACACATACAAATTGACCATGGCTAAACTGTGAATCTCAATCTGCATCAAATGATTAAAGGTGAATGAAACACAACTAAATGAAATCACTTTTTCTATGACAGTTGCCAGTCACCTCACAAGAGGAAGAACTCTGAATCACACTGAGAAACATGTGGTGTTTCATTGTACAAATCCATGGCTAATGGACGCACTGCTGGGGCAGGTAAATGTACAATTATATCGAAACACAATTATACCTGCAGTTATTTTTTTCACGTTAACCGCTACTAAAAGGAGGTTGTGGCCTTCTGGAGAGACAGATGCCACACAGCTAGACTAGTAATCCAGATCAAACGTTCATCGCAGGATGAGTCCGCTTAATCAAAGCCAGAGTCCCTCATGTCATAGTCTCAGCCACATGCTCATCACAGTACACTGTCACTCACTCTTTCACACGTCATTTAATTCATGGAAGATCTACATGTTGCATATAAACACTTCGTTAGACATTTAATGAGAAAACAAGACAAGGAACAGTATCACCTCATTATCAAAAACCTGTTATGGTTATATTACAACAGAAATATTCTAATGGGTTCTTTCAAATCTCTCCAACCAGTTTAGATTTACTGCATGAGTTTGCACTTGCTGACTTGCTGACCAGAACATACTAAACCACTAAACTCTGTGGTCAAAAGCCATAGTTCACACTGAATATCTATTAATTACGATAATAAAATATACATAATCGAACGGCTTTGTACTGTAAATGTACAAAATCGCAATTTATGATTTTTGTGTTTGTGATAAGGACAGGAAGTGTAAAAAACATGGGGAGGGTGTATAAATATGTTTGTGTACATATATTGGCACAAATACATGAACATACAAATGATAAGTGGTGTATTAGCTATTTAGATATACAATTTGCCTTGAAACTTTATTTTTCAGTTTTACTAAATGTATACATTTAGTCATTTTGGATTTAAATGTTTTACTTTTAAAGCACACTTAAAATCTAAATATGTACGTTTAAGAACACTGAAGAGTATAGGTTACTGATTTTATATTTGCAGTTATAAAGCACCATGATTGCACCTACTGAAGTTGAAAGGTGTAATATCAGCTTTTCGTAATTGACCAAATCCCCTAGTCTCCAGAAAGGCAGGTGTGTGATTGGGCTGCCCAATGTCAAAATTTAAACTAATTGGATATCTCAGCAGGTACTGGCACAGAGTGTTCAATTTGTGAAGCAAGCACAGAGCTGCTCTCGCGTATTTGTCACGTCTCAGTTTGGAGCTGAAAAGGTTTTTTTCGTCACTAATAGACTTCTGATCCAAAGGTCTGAGTTCTAAATCCTAAGATGTGCTCTCATGAATAAAACAGGATTACTGGATTTTACTGTGAACCGGGTCTGTGCCAAGGCAAAAAATCAGACCTCTTGCACTATGTCTGGTGCACAACATCCACTCCTCTGAACAGATAACAGCCTGAAAGGCTCAGGTGAAAAAATATGTTTTATACAGTCAGGATATGTGAAGTAAAATAAATATATTAAATAACGATGGTGGGGGGTTTAGGTTTTTACCTGTTAAAACATTTTGCGCATGGATACCTATTACTCTAAATGCTCCCATTTAATTTTTTTCTGTAACTGCTTTATCATTAGAGGATTGCAGTAAACTGACACCCAACCTAGCAAGTACAGGGTGCAAAACAGGACCACACCTCGGACTGGACGCCCGTACTTCACACTGTACACACCCTCATGCATTCCCTCACACGAGTGAATTTTAGAGACGCCAATCTACGTGGACAGCATGCCTTTGGACCAAAGACATGGAAGACTGTTGCACCTAGAAAAAGCCCACACAGACTTGGGGGGAACATGCAAAACTCAGAAGGTGTCCCAGTTCATAATCAAACCCAGGATCACATAGCTGTGAGGCAGCGGCGCAAATTACCAACCCACCAAAAGCGGAGTTTTCCATAGTTTTGGAAAAAAGAATATTTGAAAAATGTTCGGTAAAGGGTCTAATTCTGCCATTTCTTGAAAGAAACCATTGTATCAGTTTCAACAACGTGGCTAGAAAGCTTGTTTGGGATTCCCACAACCCTTGGGGCAAAGAAGTGCCTTCCTGTTCTCGGTTTTACATGCACTTCCATACGAGTAAATGGTCTTATGGATTTATGATGCTAATGTCTGTCCACTGGGGACTGATCTTGGAACTAATCGGGAACTTCGGTGAGACAGGAAGGAGACTGGGAGACCATTTCAGGGAACATGTCAGAGCTGTGAGGATCAAGGATCTCTCCAAACCCAAAGTTTCCCATTTGACCTCTAACAGCCATGATCACATTGATCTCTCCGTCCGCGTCCCCACAGAGGGATTTCGTAACCCCTATTGCAGAAAGACATGTGAAACATGGCATTATCCTGAATTATAATTATCCTGAAATCCTTCAATTAAAAAAAATAATCCTTAAATTCTCCTGGAACTAGGATCACAACTTCCCCCTTTTCTCAATGACAGACTCGTCTCCTTCTAATCCTCTCTATTCAGGTTTTGACTCCGCACCTCTCTTGCAGTTCCCCCTGAGTGCTGATTCTCCCTCTCCCCTGCTCCCCGCCTCCCCTCAACTGCCCTGTCTTTTGTTCTCCCATGCTTCACCAACGGCGGGTTTCTCCCTCTCTCTCCCACACCTGGAGAAGGCTCCACAGCTGAAACTTTGTGTCTCTTTTCTTCTCCTTCCAGCTGGGGATAAACCTTTTACCTGTTCCTAATCTGGGACAGCCAAGCTCTTGGGAGCCCTCAGCTGATCCTGGTCTGAAACACAAGTCACAGAGAGTCACAGATACAGAGAGCAGGAGGATTGACCGGGTTGCACACAGCCTTTCCCTTTGCGTTCGCGGGAGGTTCCGCAGACCGGCCAACAGAGACCGAGGGGACGCAACGGAATTCAAGCCTCATCGGCAACAGGGTGCCTGGAAAGGCCTCACGGACGGCTGCTCCCCGCGTGCCGTTCGGGGCAGTCCTCGCGGGCGGGCTCACCTCCTCCATGGCGCTGATGAGGTTCTGCGTGGACTTGCTGATCTCCCCGCCCACGGCTGGAGCGCCGCTGCCCTGGAACCCGGAGCCGGGGCCGCCGTGCCCGTTCATCTCCACGGTGTAACTGGCCTTCACGGGCCAGCACAGCTGGTTGTGCATGATGAAATACACGGCAAAGACGTAGAACCCCTGGGAGACCAAACGCACACGGCAGTCAGTCACGGGAGAGGCGGGGAAGCGGGGAGGGAATAGTCCAGAAAACAGCTGAATTTGTACTGTCATTTCCTGGTTTAAAATTCCTCTTGTGGCTGGTGACTTGGGCTCTTAAGCAAGGGTTTAAAATCTGATCTGCTGCTTATCCGAGAAATTAAGTCACCAGAACCATGTCAGCAAGAGCTTTTCCGTATTTATTCCTCGCAGTGTGGTCTCTCAAAGTGTATCATATTGCACAGAATGTGTATGATGTTATTAAGGGTTTGTTTTAAATAAACAGCAACAGGTGCAATGGACTACTGATTATTCACTCTGATTATTACACACCCAGTCTGTAAGACCATTAAGGTTAAACCACTCGTAATCTCAGATTTCACATTCTTCCACAGCATCAGATAAAACTCAGTGAAGCAATGGAAGGATGTAAAAACTATGGCACAAATAAACAATGGGCCTCTTCAGAGTGAACCATGAAACACGAACCAGAGGAAGTACGTTTAAAAGAAACTAAGAAGCAAACTACGCAGCCAGAACAAGTCAGTGTCCTGGCTTTTTTCAAGAAACAGCTGGATGAGAGCTTTTGCTAATTAGCTCAATTTGGATCAATTAGTTACTAACTACCAAACAGGCTAGATGGGCCACATCTGTAACTGTTCTTGTGTTCTTGTTGTTCAGTAGTGCAAGCTTAGCGTTAGGAGTTGTGTGATGGAACAAAGTGCAAAGTAAGGAACAAAGGAAGTAAAAGGATGACAAAATATTAGTTTCCAAGCAGCGTCCTGTAGTTCTTTTAAGGCCAAGGTCATAGTAGAGGGGAGCTCTGAGCACCAATCTAGCAGAGGGCAGATCAAGTTGGAAGTGCTCAAAGTGTCACAGAAACCTGCCATGCAGGAGATGACGCAGAAAGGAGACTGATTGGGCCATTGAGCTGGGCTTCTCTGAGGCTGTGATGCTGCAATCTGTCACAGTGACAGCGGCTAAAAAGTGAGAGTGATTCCTGGTGTATGTGGTGATTACTGTCAGTATAGTGGTAATGTCCTAATCATGATTTCTTCATCGCTAAAGGATTGGGGAGATTTATTTCTGAACATCAGATGGGAAATATCACACCACAGCTAGGAATTTAACATTATGCCAAGACAGGTGCAGGTCAAAATAATACAGTACATGAAATCTAAATTTTCTTGTGATGAGGCAATGTCTTTGCAAGAGCCCTAAGTCATCTTAATAGCTACACACATTATGTAACATTCACAGTCTAGGAACAGTGGATGTGATCATATGTATTAGTATGGTTGCAAAGATGGGGTGACCCTCAGGTCTGAGACCCCCAGAGGTTTCTTTCTTCCCACTGGGAGTGTGTGTTTTCCTCTCCTCTGTGCCCCCATGGTCAGCAGCTGCTGTGCAATATTGTGAAGTCTGTAAAGAGCTATAGCGATAAAAGACTGATTGACTGGTAATGGACATCTGATCCTCTTTCAAGGCCCAGAGGTGAGGTGAGGCTGGAGGACATGCAAGTGGAACTGCGTGAAGAGTAAAATGGACTGACTGCAGAAGTCAGAGGAAGAGCAGCAAAGTTATCAAGACACAAGAAAAGGAAATGCAAAACTGATGTGCTGAGAGACCTAAGGGCAGAGATAACAGCATCAAACACAATATAGCATATGTCTTGTGGAAAGAGTGGAAGATGGAATTCAAATCTAACCAGCATATGTTATAGCAAAATAATAAAGATAAGCGTGTGATACACAATAGCTGCTATGCATGTAGAGACAAATGACAGTCTCGGAAGGTGGGTGCTTTATTACAGCTCTTGATCACTGGGTTTTGCAATGCAAAAGTTTTGCACCTTCCCAAAGCAGAAAGCAAAATCCTAACATCTCATTTTCATGTCTGTGCTGCAGTGTATCCTTCCAAATCCCACCCTTCAGTCCTCATTTACACTAATTTCAATATTAAAGTTGGAGGTTTAACGAGGTGCTGATTTGTTAGAGGACACAGAAACCCAAATGTCTTCTTTTTCGCTGAATTTCTTTTGAAATTTTTGTAGCTGCTGTTTTGCAGCCCATTTTGCTACTTTTACAACCCATTTATCTGTGACTCAGCTTTTTCAGCCTGGCAGTGTCTCCTTCAATCCCAGGAATGTGTCTCTTTATCACTCTTTTGTTCTGCTCTGTACTGGTTCCTGTCCCGAAGCCCTAATTACACAGCATTAATACCTTGCTTGCAACTTGGTGACTAACACCGTAATCCATGTTCTATATGTGGTCTTACGATGCACTGTAACATTTTAGCATACCAGAGAAATCAATGAACAGGTAATATGTGACAGGTAATAGTAAAATAGTGACTTATCTCCAAATTTAATCAAGGCTTCTAACATTCAGTTCGCATTTTTAGTTGCTTCCCCACGTTGAAGGTGTCAATGTACAGTAAACACCTAAATCGTCTTCACTAGCAGCCTTTTTTCGAGACCAGTGTTGCTCAGGCCTAGGGGAAGTGGACAGTGTGCTTATATTCTGCTCCCTTGGAGACGCACTTCAAAGCCAAGTGCTGAATTCTGTAACCATAGAGAACAGTCCTGACTCATACACCGGGCTAATCCATATGCGGAATGTGCACACCACTTGTACCTTTCGAAGTAGGCCACACAGCAAGTTACGTAAGCGCCCTTCCTGCTGATCTATAAGAACAGGGACTGCTGTACAGTGAATGCTAAGATGGCAGTTCTTGAAGAGCAGGGCCAATGTTATGAATGGATTTTACAGTACATGATGGTGACGGTGGTACTCTGCCTTTTGTGAGCAATAACCTGATTCTGTGGGCTAGTGGCCCAACAGCAAGAGCCTGGTTAACAACAGTTAACCTGTTGACTTTGATGTTGCTGCACAAATGAATACTCTCCTTTTTAAAATTGGAAAAACCTTTGAAAATGCCTGTGTATTTCCAGTGAAACACGTTAGCTAGTTATATATCAGTTACTAGGGCTCAGATCATGATCATGGTAGATACTGTACATTTCACAGTGCTTTCTTATGTTGCCAAAAAAAATTCAACATCTCGTTTCTTATATCTACATGTGGTTTGGATTCCACTTTCACAACAATGTGAAATGTCAAGCACCTCATCTGTAATTAAGTTCTGTACTTCACTGCAAAAATATATGTTGGTTTTAAAAGCATTTTATGAATTATATTTCAATAACATAAAGGAGATATACTCATTTGGTAAGACAATACAATATTTCCCCCACTCCTCAATTTTGTGTCCACAAAAGGACTTTCCAAATAATATCTACTATCTACTATTTATCATGACAATGATGATATTTTCTATATAGTCTAATAATAGTTCAGTTTAAATAGCACCATTTAAGAAACAGCATCTCAAGGTGCTCTGGAACAGAACAATGTAAGACCTGACGCAGACGAGCTCGTTTGATAGCTGAGCAGCTGATTGAAACTAAAGGTTTGCCCCGTTGACGTGCCTTTAAAGGGCCCAAAGGTTGGGCCTCAAGCGTGTGGCTGGGAAAGCTCTTCCAGATGCCCACAACTTTCTGTGTGTTTCTGTGAGAGTCTCATTTCCTCCACCCTAAATGAATCCCTTGAAGTTCGTGCAGTCCACGTCGTTGCTGTTCACTTCCTGCACTGTCTGGGTTTGCCACTTCCCCCCGAAGAGGTTCTCAGGATTTGAAAGTGGCGACTGAGAGGCAAGATCAGACCTGAGCTGGGAGATCATCCCACAGCCTAGGAGTGACAGAGCAGACAGTGGCGTCTTCAAGATGAGAGAGGCTCACACTTGCTCCTTCGGGTAGCCTATTCTCATTAAAGTGACTGCGAAAATATGCATCCCTTCATTTCTCTAATGTCTTGACGAGAAAGGAGAATAATCTGTAAACATATTATTATGGAAAACAGAAGTGGGGGAATGCTACATCCTCTGATATTTCACGAGTCCTTTTACTAAGTGCCATGTTTATGTTGTAATTATGCGATTACAGCACCAGCACGTAATCTACAGTGTCTAAGGGGAATCACCAGCATACACGAAATCTCTAAGACTATACAGTATGATGAAGTTAAATTTTCTTCAAGGGGATGCCAAGATACAGGAGTGCCGGGGTTTAAAGCAAACAGACAGATAACAGAACAAATAAGAAGACATGAATGTTAAAATATGTCAGTTAGGAGAATTGGGTACGTACGCATGTGCCTTTCTGTATGAATTTAGGAGTCCTACTATTACATATTGTATTTCCGATACATAACAAGGGAGGGAGCACATTCATTTTTTTAATCGAAAAAAAAAACATTTCAAGAGAAATTGCGAAAGGTATCCATCTTTCCAAGTTAAAAAATGTTATTAAATTTGTTTACTGTGATCACATCTAAGGGAGGTTACATCTCAAAACTAAATTATTTAAATTGCTTTTCTAGAGGATAGCCTGTTTTTGCCTTGTCAAAACTCTGTGCCAGTAATGCAAACCTGGAGCAATTCATTTGACACCCCGATTGAACACCGGAATAATTAAACACAATTCTGGAAGACTGGTTTATACAATTTTAACAGATTGATTAAACCTGTTGACAAGTCCGTATGATCTCTTATCGACAAGAGTCATTCATCACCTACTCAGCCATCATGTTGAAGTTGATATCTTGGTTTCTTGCAAGAAACGGCTGGATGAGATTCAGGGTCAATTAACTGCTTACTACCACTCTGTCCAGTTTTCTCATTTGTAACTTATGTTCTTTTCCAACTCAAGGAGATTCTAATCCTTCTGAGTGTCCAATGAAGAAACAGGAGGAAGTTTCCTCCTGTGTGAAGCTGGTTATATAATGAGGAGACTTACACAGTGAACCTGTCTGATCATGATGAACACATCTGGTCATAGAGGGCTTTGGCTGGAACAACAGCACCTTAGCATACAGAATGAGTTCGCCCTAAGTGTAGGATCTTTTGTTTTTTTTGATAACTCAAACAGGGAGATAGAATAGGGACATATAGAATAGAGATATGGGATGTAGGCTCCTCTACAGCTGCCTCATCAGGAGGAAGACAGATGAGAGGATAGAGAAATGTATTGCACTTTTCCTGATCAAATTTAATATCTGAACCACATAATTAACAACCTTTACTGACCACAGGCAGTCAGAACCTTGGTTTAACATCTCACCTGAAGGTCAAAGCACAGTGTCCTGGGTCACCCAGCTGGGGTATTGCTTTGGGCATTCTTGCCCAGAGGGTTAAGTGCCACCAACTGGTCTACCAACACCATTGACAAGATCATGACGAGATTGGTTAAGGCTGACCTGCATGTTCCACCAGCCTCCTCATCTTATATATTATCCAGTACATCTAGATGGAGTTCTGAAGCTAAAGTATGTATACACTGTTTACGCAGTACTCTATGTTAATATGTTTACTCAGTACAATGTATCTCTATGTAAAAGCAATTTTTCAAGCCATTTTATTTAAACCACTATCATTGCTCACTTTTGGAATGACACATTATATTTAAAATGACACAGTACTATTTTCCTCCTGGACTTTAACATGCAAAGCTTGTTTGAAATAGCTAACTTTTGAGGGACTAAATATTTCAGCAAACTACTGAAATGATCTGCCTTTACAAAAGTGTAAAGATAGGTCAATAATAAAAGTTAGCCAACTGTACAGAGGCTTTCAGTTTTGGTTTTAAATGTATCTTTACATATAAAAATGTTTTTATGTCACCATGTGGAGGGGAAAATAAAATATTTTAAACATAAAGAAACAAAAAGCATTTGCATCTAAATATGTGTAGCTTTCTAGTGATTTAAAGCACAGTAGGAGATCAAAGGCTTTTCAAATGCTGACTCGCTAATGGGCTTATACTAATACGAACAGCATCTACTTGCCAATACGATCAGAATGGACAGATGTGGCAAACTCTGTCGCCTGGACAAATGACTAAAATCTAGGTCAAACATGTTTATTTGTACCTAATCAATAGTCTTGCACACTGTATCCTTTAAGATGTGATTACCTGAAATATAAATGAGTATATCAGGGTTATGTCAGTCTTGGTATTCTTTTAGTAAATGAATTGGTCTGGTCTTATTTGCACAAGATATCTAAGGCTGAGGAACAGATTCTATTGTACATGATCCACTTCTGTAGCAGATGAACAAGGAAAAAAAGTTACTTTCCCGGGGTAGAGATCATACTGTATCTGGCTCAGCTTAATTACTGGAAGGGACACGCAAAATCAGTTTAAGGACATTTTTGCCTTTGTATTGTGGTTTTGAAAATCACAGCCTTCATTCTTGTGAGATCTGTAAAAACAGTTTGCCCTTCTTTCAGGGAAAGGGTAACACTGGTATTGCCACCTTACAGTCTCCCTTGGCCAGATGTTGGAAGCTGAGCAAGGCTGGGCCCATTCAGTACTGCTGTGGGAGCCCTCCAGAGAAATCCAAATTCCTGCTGTGAGCAATGCTGGGGAATCAGTAGGTGGTGCTCTTCCCTCTGGACTAGAAATTCCAAACCAGTTCCTCAGAATGGTGAGTGGGGACGCTGTGCTTTAGGAGTTGCTATCTTTCAGATGAGACAGTTAACCAAGGTCCCGACTACTGGTGCGTTAAAAGTCACACAGCACTGTACTGGCTAAATTCCACTGTGAGTTCTTAAAACCCAGCCTCCCCTTAATTCCATTTGTGAAGCGATTCCTCATTTCCCTTCCCACTCTACTGCGCAGAATTGTACTGTGTGGACCGCTGGTGCAGAATGGCCAATGGTAGAGGAAAATCACTTTGCGAACGCAAACAAATCATTACTGTCATCATCCCTTGGAGAGCAGTTTACCATATTGGCCAAACGTCAACCCCATGATTGCCTTGCAGAAAATGGTGCAATGTAGAGAAAATGCAAGCCCAATGACTAAATTTAGCCTTTTCTTGCATCCTACTGAATGACATGGATTTTACCTCATGAACAATCTGTCTTAACATTGGATATCCAATATCCGATATGACGCTTTTTACACAGTGGCGTCACATATCACTACTGACAGGAGTGACGCAGTTTTCAGAACAACAGCGCCTCTCACATGCTCATGAAATAAAAACCCAACGACTTTCCAAGAGCTGCTGAAGACATTTCTGAAACTTAAACACCACAAAGAAGACCTAAGCTACTGTACATAAAGAAACTGAAGAGCCTCCGAAGCCTCATTCCTACTCAGTGGAAAAACTATAAAAAGTACATGAACTCAAAAATGCTACTTTTAATTATATCCTCTAGCATGGAACTATAAATTACCACCATTCATAGTGGAAATTTCAATCAGTGACCCTTTGGACAAAACACTGCAGTTTAATAATTCCCGTGAAGTCTTTTCACCTTCTTTACAGTTTAATTACTTTGCAATGTGAGGATCTAGCAAATTCACAAAACATCATCAATGGCAATGTCCTTATTCTTAGCATCTTAAACTGTGACGGAGAGGGTGGCATCGGGATTATTTTATAATTTTTCTGACATTGAAAATTAAATCCTAAAAGTGAGTCTGTGTCTGCATTCCAGCCCACCGTGAGTTTTGATTGTTTTAGCTGTCTGCATATTTGAGGTATGGCTCTGGGGCATAGGCTATATTGACAATATGTCATTCGATGAAAACTCCTGAGATTTCTGTATTAATCAGTTTTAGTTTAATATGTTTTTGTGAGCTGTCCTGCAGGCTAAGACAGAGAACATAGTTTTAGGCAATGAACAGTGTTTAGCAGAACTGAAAGCAGTCCTTGTATGTTATTATTATTCATTTGTTTAGATGACTCTTTTATCAAAAGCAATTCCCATTTATACCCATTTATAGAGCTAGGTATTTTACTGGAGTCATGATGAGTCTCCTTGAGCAGGGGTGCAACAACAGCAGGAAACCACCCAGGATTGAAACCTACTGCCCTCCAGTTACGAGTGCAGCCCAAACCACTCCTGCAGCCAGAATGCCTGTTCACCACAGGTAGCATCACAGCAAGGCTCACAGAAACATTCGTAAAGGACATACGCAGAGAGAAAGAGTGATGAGGGAATTCTAACACATTACTGACTTATGATTTTGGTGGTGCAGTATGAATCAAGAGGAAACAGAAGGCCTTAACACAGAATGTACAGTATATGAGGCATAAATAATCAGACTTCTTACCAGCAAACTGTTGAAGATGACAAACAGCACCAGCATCCACAGGTGTCTGTAGGCCATGTGCAGGCCTCCCCACAGCCAGACCAGAGAAACAAGGGCAAACAGGTACAGCACCAGCGGGACCTCTGTGAAACAAGAAATGATCTTCGTTACGCCAATAACGGCTCACCAGTGGATATTCTGACTGACGGTAATCCTGCCCCCGAATGCCAAATTAACATCACAGAGCACAGGCCACAAAACCTGGCTCTCCTGGGAAAGAGCACCTCCATTGTCTCTTCCAAAATGGCACTGCACAGCCAAGCTTTAAGAAGAGCATGGACAGTGTCCCTAGCTGTCCTTGCTGGCCCAGACAATATGCCAAGACCTGGTTACATCAGCAAGGCATGATATACATTTCAGTGAGTGGCTCAAGATCTATTCCTGTGTATTTTACATTAAGGGTCACCCAGCTCAACCTAAGACTGTGAAACATTAGTGCAGCTGTTTCTGTAGCGCCTTCGGATGCAGATAATTTGGGTGTCTGCTCACACAGTTGTATGGAAACATATTAGGAGTTTTTCAAAACTTCAGCACTGGGCAAGAAACTTTTAAAATAATAAAATAACTTTTATTGAGAACATAACATTCATCGTGGTTTGGAATTGTTGATTTCCAAATAATTCTAGGGAAATAAATATCATACTGGAATTGTACAAAAACAAATCTATACAGCACTGAAGTCCAGATATGAAAATAATTCACAGAGAACTTTCTAAATAAACTGGAGGCCTTTTGTTTTGTTTATATTGTTTGAGAGTTTACAAAAATGATTTTCCACAGAACAGATGATCAACAAGCAAACAAGACATGGAAATGAGATGGAAATGTGGAACTCCTGGGCCTCTAATTTCTCCAAAGCTCTCTTTCCATTTCTAGCAGACAGAACGACTCATTTTTTCCAGGCTCCAGAGGGAACTTATGTAACCCAACAGTTTTATTGCTCCTGCTCAGGCAAACTCGGAGGAGGCAGCAAAGTGCAAATTCATCACAAACTTTCCAGTAACTGTAGGAAGGGGTTCTTCACAGGTTTGTAGTGGAACTGATCCCAATTCCTGGGAAAAAAAGTACTGAGGCATCCTGGCATACAGCAATGGAAGAAATAGGGCTGACAACCCGTCTGGACTGGAGCAAATTGTTAGCACCTGCTACAGTAGATGTCAGTGGATTGCGAAGAGAACAGAGTTTTGGAAACCTGGCTATCCTTTACTGCTTTACAAGTACTTAAGTAAATTTTAAAGTGCATCACACACATGTGAGCAGATATATAATGACATATAGGTCTATTATCTCTAGAGAAAAGGTTTATAAACAGGAGCAGTCTGTTCTCCCTGTTATCAGTCAGAAGATTATGGCACACTCAGGCACACTCGTTTCCTTAGCCCTGAGAACCTTATCTCACAGCTATAACTAAGATTAATAAAGGAACAAACCAGTTTTAGTTTGCAGCTACACATCAGTCACGTGCCTGATAAAAAAGCAGCGTGGAGCAGTAACTACCAGTTTAACTCGTAACTAGAGGTCTGGGAGTTCAAATTCATGTCGCACATTTGAGCAACGTACTTCACCCAAAGTATTCCAGTAAAATACCCAGCTGTACTAATGAGTAAAAAGTGTAGTTGCTTTGGAATAAAATGTCAGACAAGTACATTAGGAATGCCATTACAGGGTCAGACTGAAAAAAACACCCTTGATTACACTTTATCTTTGCCCTCTCTATAGACTGTCTGGAATACGTTTTTTGTGGTGGCAGTCTGAGCAGAGAGTACTCTAAAGAACAAATTAAATGTGCAGTTGACTTTAAGAAAAAAAATCACAATTAGTTTACATGGTCATTTTTATAGTATTGCATATTGCTTTTCAAAGGGTCCAAATACCTTCAGGTTTATTGGATCCAGCAAAATACTGATGAGGGAAAGAGGCATTTCATCCTGCATTAATTTCAATGTACAGCAGCTGCTATTTGCACAAGTTCAAGTATAAATCTGATATAGCAGCCAAAGAAAGAAATGAAGTGTTCCCACTACAAATTAGGAAAACCAAACATGACAGACTGCACGTCTGCAGGCTGTAACATCCGAAGGTCCAAGGTTCTCACTGCTGCTGAGATTACTGACAAGTTCTGGCCAATGTCTCATTCTCTAAAGATAGAAGGAGGTATTCAAAAAGGATTAATTGTGGACTTTATTCCAGAGAGGAAATAAGCTGCTGGTGCAAAGCATACCAGCAGTATCTGAGTTCCATAGGAGACACATGATTAAGCACAATGATTATTCAGAATTACTTAATAGGTAATTAAGTCATTTCGAATTAGGTAATTCTTGCAAGTTTGCTTGGTTTACAGAATTCCAATTTTATACCGGGTCACAGCGGCACAAACCAGTTAGAATCTAACATGCCTAATAGATTTTTAGAAAAGGATCAACAGAGATAGAACATTATTTTGATTATTTGATAACTATTTTGATTTGACCTTGGAGGAAAAAACGATATTTTCTATGATTATGTTGTGTTGTATTGATGTTTTGCATCATGAAGTATTCAGTTTCCAGTCTGTTTGGACTCAGTCCTCATGTAGATAATCAAGGGCATTAAATTTGGTTATTTGGACACAGCTAAGATTGGGTTTTTAAAAAATGCATAAACACACCCAACAGTATGAACTGAATCTCTTGGCTCAAAAGGCTTACATGTTCCATTCTGCACCACTTGTTTGCCCTTGTTTTGTCACTTTAAGTTCACAAAAGTCCCATGTTAGACAGTCAGATTTATGCTTTGGAACTAGCTTTATTTGGCTTGGTTATAAACTTTCCAAATCCTGTTATTATAATTTCAGGGAGCATATCATTTTATACTGTTATTATGACCATGTCAGTATAACCTGAAAGATCTAGGGACTTTATCTGGGAATGAGAAAGAGGCTAAGATAAATCATAAGACTGGAAAAGTATCTTCAACCTCACACTACAGAAACCCTACAAGCATGGTAATGCTGGTCATTTAAAAAAACAGTGTCGTCTCTGGGTATTGTACAATCCAGTTTTATAGTCTATGTAACTGTGAAAATGCACTATGACAACCTATTGTGAAGAGCTGAATTGAATTTCTTCCTGAGGTCTCTTCATTATCACAGCTGTTCATTAAGAGCTGTTCAGCCGTCAGCAGCTACTTCACATATAAAGTATATGCTTGCAGCAGAGTACTTCTGAAGCCAAACACTGAGTTGGTTCAACTGGTGACAAAATCAAATAAATCACATGGTTGAACTACAGGAATATTCAACCTCAATTGAAAGGAAAATCTGAAGGCCTGGAGCTTCTCCAAGACCAGGTATGACCACTCTGGCCTTTCTTCATCCAGGAACTAGTCCACAAACAGGGTGCATGTCGTGGATTGCTGTAGGGGTGGTTCACTCTTATAACGTCAGAAGCATTTCATGACTGATGGTTTCAATCTAGAAACGCAAGAGGATCCACCATGATCAATAGCAACGATCAAGCTTAAAAGGGTTTTGAGCTGTGCCTCCAGAGCAATGTGTTGAGGTGTGAGCAGGAGAGAGAGGCAGACAAAATCACACATGTTAGAGAAGTGCTGAGCCCTTCCAGTTTATTTTAGGGCAGGTTCAGCACATGGTTATCACTTCCTCTTTCTGTGGCTATTTTTCCGTGAGTCTAAGCGCATTCCATCTGTGGTTTGGGATGCAATCCAGTAGCAGCAGGTTCCCCTCAGAGCCAGCCTTCATCCTATAGACTAATTCATCCACAGAAAATGAGCACTTTCATGTGGCTTTGAACAAAAGAAAACAGTACATGCATGTTACACAAACATGCCTCTCTATGCCTGTTATATATAGCCAGTGAAAAAAAGGGCACAGCTTAAGAATAGAGTCTGTTGTAGAATGTGAGCCTTCAAAGAGATGAAAAACAGCTGGTTGGGCCAAATTCCATTTTTTGCATGAAATAAGTTTGCTTGAGGAAACATTCAGGAGAAAGACACCAAGTTCTAAAGATACCCTCACAGTACTAACAAATATTCACTCAGATACAAAAAAAAGGACACTGCAGGTGACTTCAATGTAAAGTCAACTTGGCATTAGTGAATGCTGCAGAATATAATTAACTACACAGCTCCTTCCAAGACAGGAGCATTTGATAAAAAACAAACTGATCCCGAGATGCAACTACACTTGTACAACAAGTCTGCCTTTCCAAATAAGCTATACACTTGCAAAATATATAAACACAAAATTCAATATCCAAAGGCATGTGCAGGAATCAAGGAATCTAAATGCTTGGACTTCTGTACTCTTTCACCTCTTGCAATCTGTAAAAGAAGTACCCTAAGCACACAGACATGTGGGACTATTCTCTTGTCGAATCACAGCAGTGTAACAAAACACAACAGAGATGCTTTGTTTTGTAAAAAATGGAGATTTGGTACAGATCTCGAGTCTTAATTCAATAATCTTATCGCAGCCCTTCTCTCCTCCTTGTGAAGTCTTTTTTTTTCATTACGTGCTCAATGAACATCAGTCAGGACCCTCGTGCTGAGATTTTTCTTACAGATAGCTGCTTTTTTGGCACTTCCAATACCTGACTTCATCTGTTTCTCACGGCAGTCACTCTGGCCAGCTAAGTACTGTTGCACGTAGCTTGTTAAACTGTGGCTGCCAGCCAGGGCTGGAGCATAACTGCTTTTAGCTGCTGAAACAGAATACAACCAGATGTACTTAGATGAGAAGTCTAGGATTATTCATCCAGTGGAAAATGTTATGTCACTTTCCCTGTGCTAATCTGAAAGCATGCTGAATAACAGGAATCTGAAGATCTTTCCTTTTGTAAGGCAATGTAAGTCGTGCTATTGGAGAAGAAACAATGAAAATTCAGGAAATGAGTTAAAACATTCACTTTTTAGAAGGACTCTTGGGCAATGAACCCAACATTTTATGATGAAAAGCACAAACTTTCCACTTGCATGGAATCTCTCAATTCCAAACAGCTCAACCACAGGCCCGCATATGGAACACATATAGAATTCTTAGAAATCGGGTATGTTATTATTGAAATAGGACCTCATGAATTGGAAA